CAGTATCTCTTATGAACAACAATTGCTATTGCAGCAATTGTGCTATGTCCTTTACTGGTCTTTTTCCAGCATTTATGCCCATAGCTTGAAGTGCTAGTCAACAGCTTTCTTGAGTCCCCAGTAATAAGCCTTGACAAGGAAGGTATCAGTTTTCATGTTCCTGGTACATCTTGGATAGGGGAAATGTAGTGTACGGGAAGTTTATCCAACAGCTAATGAGTGACTTTTTCTTTGCTGCTGTCATGTTAAGAAGTTGACAGAACATATGAAGCATTATCATTCCAAGTCCACATCCAGCTCAATATTGTCTCTGGCTAAATTTTTTTCCCATCAGTTGCTTCCTGATCTTTTTCTTCTTAGAAATGTCCAGGATCAAAATCAAAACCTTCTCTCCCCAAAGTCTGTGTTCAGTCGTCAAGTTCTTCTCTAAATAGCTGCTGTTTTGAGTAAGCTTTTCTGCTCTGGTTATAGTTAATTTTAGACCTCATCCATATGCTTGGGAGCTTGAATGAATGTTCCCTCTTACTTCCTATTACCATTTTGTATTACTAACTCATGTACATTTCAATTTATCTTCTATTCTGTCATCTCGTTTGAAGAAGTTCAATTTTAGTAGACTTCAGAAACTAGCTACCACACTCACAAATCCAAGGATCTGCTATTTAGTACATTACCATTCCATTCAATAATCAACAGGTTCAACGTTAATTCAAAATACGCTAACATGGCAGTGATGCAAGATTGCCAACCCTAGAAGCATTATTAATTCCCTGTCTTTTATCTGTTCAGCATTTGCAAATAGCATATTTGTATAGCTTGTAAATAGCTTAATGTAGATTCTTTGGAGCCAGCCTAGGAATCTGGATTCCATTTCGACAGAGACCTAACTGCAAATTTGTAACAGTGATACTATCTACTTAGTCCTTGGAAACCACATTAGAAAATTGGGTGCTTCTTTAACAAAAATTTGAGGACAGATTTGTCTGTTTCAGCAATATTATCTACCTGTGGATAGATAACATATACAAGTATATTGTGCATTTTGGTTGGCGAATAAAAGTATCACTGATGGATTTTTGTTTGAATTTGCTAAATGGCCAACACAGCTACCCCTGAATGTTATCTACCTGTGGGTTTGGGAATTAAAATAAATAAATAAATAAATATCTAATCTAATGTTTTTTTGGTCCAGAGAAAGAAAGGTACAGCCTAAACAGACAAACTGTTAAACTTTGCATGATATATAGTGATGCAAATGTAATAAGTTTTGAGTCACACAGAAATCTTTTCCACCTGGTTCACTCTTTAGCAACTGAGTTCCTGCAGGATAACAGCCATTTTCAACAACATGGTGATAAAATTGCAGACATTGTGAAATAATGCTATATTATTTGCATTCTGACGCAGAGGAGAAAAACATGATTTTCCATTGTAAATGGTGAGAAGATAGTTCCATGCTAACTAAAATTATCTCTCGGTGATTGCTGCCCAAATTACTCTCATGGAAGCATGCACCAAACCAAAGCCTAAGGGAATCCAATATTCATCATGCATCTCCACCTTCTCCTATGATCTTGGACAGGTCTTAAGGCACACAAGCAATCAGGTAAAAGTAGCAATATGTCGAACCATCTTTCTATAACATAAACACATGTATAATTAAACCGAACAAGACAGACAGGCTATCTCCCTCCCTCCCTTAGTTCTGTAAAAGATGAGTGCTTACCTGGTATGCTGTGCAATTTGCTGTACAGATTTTTTTCCCCCCGAAAAGATTTTGACCAAAATGAATAATGCGGATGAAATGCAATAACGCAAAGTCAAAATTTGTCCCGTTATCAGTTCCTCACATTCAAGCAGGAATCCGACGCCGGCACAGAGCAGGAAAGAAAGAGCCCTGGGATCGTCTCATTCAAGCAAGATTGCTTCATACAAAAGTTGACAATAGGCTCGCAAAATCTATTGTTGATATTCAACATATTTTAAATAGCTGCACAGAATAGACAATAAGGCGGGAAGGAAAACTTGGAGAGGAAGGCGGCTTGGACTCTTGGTGCCGCAAGTAGAATACTGTCCAAAGAAGAAGAAGAAGAAGAAAAAGGTCCCTTTCTAAATAGAGTCTTACATTTTAAATAGTGTGTGTGTGTGTGTGTGTGTGTGTATTAATTAAAGCATCATTTGCATGTTATAAGAGAGATTTTTCTGTCTTTTGGGCAGTCATCCTCAGATGCCCAATAATGTGTCAATTCTCCCCAGGAAAGAAAGTATTGTCAGGATACAGGGATGAATTGTTTGTTCTAGAATTGAATGTTGTGTTGTGTTTTTAAACTGGTGTTGCAAAGACACCTGCAGGAATAGGTAGTTCACAAAATATATCTAACGTTGGGGGAATGGCTGCATTTTTTTGCATTAAAAGGGAGGAAAGAACAATCAATATTGAAGGGCCATGTTCTTCCATATAAGTTGAGCCTGCCTATGTTTTAAGGTCTTGTGGAGATACCCTTCTCTCTGTCCCAGCATCATCACAGATACATATGGTAAGAACATGAAGGAAGGCCTTCTTGGTGGCTGTTCTCAGGGTCTAGATCTCCCTTCCTAGAGAGCGCAGATTTGCATTCTGGTTATTATCCTTCCTAAACAGATGAAGACTTACTTGTTTTGGCAGGCCTACAGGCCTGAAGCTGAATTGTACAGGGTGAAAAGGGCCTTGCATAATATGCAGTGTTTTCCATTTGTTGTTTTTTCTTTAATGATAATGCTTCTAAATTTGATTGGTAGTTTATTCTCACTTTTAACTTTTGTACAATGTCAATTTTTAACTGTAGTAATACTACTAGGGGATTTATCAATGGATGCAGACCTAAATAGATTAAAGGCACCAGATCCAATCTGATCTTGGAAGGTAAGCAGCGTCAGCCATAGTACTTGTATGGGAGGTCACCAATGAATACCAGGTGCTGTAGGCTATATTTCAGAGGAAGGAACCAGAAGAACACCTTGCCTAAGAAAATCTAATGAAATGCATGGTGCCATAAGTCAACAAGGGACTTGAAGGCACACACACAAACACACATACACAGAATCAATGGATAATGATTAAAAACATAAAGAAAGAAAATAATAATAATAATCTAGTAGTTTTCCATACTGCTTGGGCATCACACTATCATAATTCCAAGTTAATGGTTGGACACTTTACATCAGGGGTAGGCAACCTTTCCCCTTTAAGGGCCGAGGGACTTCAGCTCCCAGAAGCCTCAGCCATGTTGGCCAATAGTCCCATGTTGGCCAGTAGCTCCTGGGATTCTGGGAGCTGAAGTCCCTCGGCCCTTAAAGGGGAAAGGTTGCCTACCCCTGATCTAGGTTGTTCAAAATGGCCACTTGAATGTCACCTGAAATGTTGCCAGTGCAGAACTATGCTGGTCTTCTTCAGAATTTGTTTTTTTTTTTCCCATGTAGATTTGCTTCCAAGAAACTGTGATGGACTGTAGGGTATTGTAGGCTGCAGGTTCAGTGTCTTGACTGTCATCCACTACTCTAAGCCTTGTAATATTGAGGAAGAATCTGATTTTCAAAGAGCCCTAGTATTCCTAGGAACATAACTTGCAATCCCCTGTTGTGGCCAATGCTACAGACTGATCAACATTAGAAGAAACACTTGGGAAGCTTGAGCATTCAGTGCATGGCATTTCATGATAGAATCATGAACTCTGTCCATATGAATCAGTACCATTTTGCAGTTTATGAAGCTGCTTCTCTTGAGGATTAGGAAACAAACATCATAAGTGTTTGATCTCCTCATGTCTGCTGAAGACATCTTTGGTTGTTGCCACACTGCAGGATTGGTGCAGTTTGGCACCACTTTAACTGTCATGGCTCCAACCAATGATATCCTTGGATCTGTAGTTGTGGCACCAGAACCCTCAGAGATGGCTAGAATATCTCACAGAACTACAGATCCCAGAATTCCATAGCATTGAGCCAGGGCAGTTCAAGCGGTGTCCAACTGTTTTATTTCTGCAGTGCAGATGCAACCTTTGTCATGAGGCAAAGGACAAGATGGTTCCTCTTGCCATTTTGAACTTTAAAGCAGCTATCCAAAATGCTGAATTTATTTAGAGGGAAATTCAGTACCTTGGATAGCTCATTTAAAGTTTAAGGACAGCATGAATTCACTGCCTCCTTGATATGGAAGCTGCCAGCCTCCATTGCCTAAGAAACACTACACACACCCAAACACATATCTCAGTGCAGACTTAACATTGCCCAGCATCCATGGAATGCTGACTTACTGTTAGAAGAAGAATGGAAAACGGGGGAGTTGGGCTGAGAGCATGTGACTTGCCCAAAGTCACTCAAGGAAGCTCACTGGCTGACCTTGGGCAAGTCACATGCTCTCAGCCTCAAAAGAAGGCAATGGCAAACCTCTCTGAACAAATGTTGCCAAGAAAACCCATGATTAGGTCACCATAAGTCGGAAACAACTTGAAGGCCCTTTCACATCCATTTATAATACTAGAGTTCAGATTAGTTCACAAGTCTTTGTAGATGTATGGAGACTTTGTAGAGGGCCATCTCCTGTGTTAGTTATCCACAATGGTTTCTGCAAACTCCCTTGTCAAACAGATAAATCAGAGCTTTGGAAATTAATTTTTTAAAACATGTATATTCCTTCCTATCATTCATCGTAGAACGTAGCAAGTGATTCCTCGCTCACGGTAAGGTTTAAAACAGAATTTGCTTATTTTTGTTGTTTCTTCTAAGTTGGGGTAGAGAGACCAACCTAGAAGCCATATCATTTGGCCAATGCTGGTCAAAATCCTTCTCAAAAGGTCTCAGAATGACCATTGAAAAGTAATTTCAAAAAGTAATTAGTAATTTCTCAGTTCTCCTACCACCCACCACTGCAGTTGTTTTAGGCTGATTTAGACAGTTGTTTTAGGGCCATGGTTTTGGTCAATTCCTTTTTCAACCAGGGAGTTAACAGAAAGCCACGGAGAGACAGTGTAGTGTAGTGGTCTGAGTGTTGGACTACGACTCTGGAGACCAGGGTTCAAATCCCAGCTCAGCCATGGAAGGCCACTGGGTGACCTTGGACAAGTCACACTCTCTCAGCCTCAGAGGATGGCAATGGCAACCCTCCTCAGATGAAACTGGCCAAGAAAACCCTATGATATGTTCCCTTTAGGGCTGCAATAAGTCAGAAACAACTTGAAGGCACACAACAACAAACTGACTTTAGGTTTACTTCTTGCTTCAAAAAACAAGAAACAGAAACCCTCTTGGGTTTAAAACAGGCTCTATGTGTGTTTGTCTGTGGAGCAGGGGGATATGACAAACCATGCCAACCATGAGCCTACATCCACCATTTGATTTGATGAGGATGGTCCCATGTAATCCTCCATCATTTCCCCTTTTCAGCTGTTTGTTAAAAGATATACCAGTTTCTCTCTCTTCTTCCTCCTTCCTCCCTTTGGTTTCATCTTACTGCAGTTGTTGCAAATGGAGTTGAAAGTGCAAAAGTAGTCTGCACTCCATTAACTTATCAGGAGGGAGGAGGAGAGGCTGAAAAGGGGCATACTCTTGCACTTCCCAGTTGGCTCAGGCAAAAGCAAACTGCTGCAACCTCTCCTACCTTGTGCATCCTCCCAAATTAATAACATTTGCCATCTTGACTGGACTCTGATGTTGCTTGGCCACACATGTCCCAGATTTTAGTCTATGAAATGTTGGTAAGTATGGCACCCTGGGAGACATTGTGTAAAATCTTCCAAAATGAGGATCTTGGGTAGGCCTTCTCATCCTCAAAATGACATGCAATGTGACCCACAGACCACACTTTGCCCATTCCTGCACTGCATCAATGAAGCAAATTTATCCCCATTCATGTTACTTTTGAAATCTAGGGGTCATTCAAACTTTTTGTTAGTGCAACTTTGCCAATAATCTTACACATTCTGGTTTGGTTGTTAGCACCATTTTTAAAAATCAGAACCACATCTCTGCGACTTCTGTTGCTCACATGTGTCAGAAATGTGAATAAAGATGGACTCGATGATGCAGATGTGTTTGAAACACATTCAAGGCATGCAGAGTTTTATCCCAATTTATCCCGGGTCTATTCACATCAGTTATTCACACAGCAGGTGATGCAAATTTTTTAGGAAAACTTGGGAAAACCCCCAAGATCGATTATCCTGGGGTGAGTGGGGTTTTTTTGGCAGGCCTCCAAAAAACCCAAAATGGAGGTATTCAAAATGCATCTGAACAACAAAACCTCATTCCCACTTTCAAATAAATCAGTTTGCAATCTGAATCGATGGATTGTTTCGACAGCAGAGTGTGGTTCACACTACATTTGCCCTGATCACATTTTTTTTGTTGTAAAATAACCCACTTGTTATTCACGTTGACTGTTGGGGGGCAATGAGCTTACAGTTGTAAACTGCTTAGACATCCCATAGTGCGATATGAAGCGGTATATAAATGAAGCTGCTTTGCTTTACTAATGAATCAATTCAAAATGGACCCTCTACAGCGGGTCACTGATCACTGATCATGTCATTGGAAATTGACACTGATCTGCATCTTCTTCACATTTGCTCTGAATCGAGTTATTTCAAAAGACGTGGAAAAAACGAGCGTCAAAAAGATGTGTATTAAATAGGTCTCGCGCAGGGCCCTCTCGCCAAACCACTGCAGCGATTTGGCTCAAGTGTGAACAAAGGTCATTTAAACCACTTCAAACCAGTTAGCAAACTGGTTTATAACATAGCGGGAATGAGGCCAAAGATTCAACCCAGATTATACCAGGATTATTTTCACCATCTGATGAACCCCATAGTTTCGTGGCATCCTCATTACAAAACAAGAAAAGAAAAAAGAGAGGAGTAACTTGTTCCTTGTAGCAACATCACTTGTAGTGTTACTTCCATACTGCTTCTGAGATGGGGGAGCCCAGAAAGTAAAAGTTTAGAAAAGGGGAGAGTGGATGAGTTACAAATCTAAATTTTTTTTGCAAAGGCAGAATTGGATCTCTTGACAGAGATGGACATTTTACACAGTCGTTCCAACTGCACACCATCAGAGGTCTTTGTGTATTTAGGAGGAGTATAACCTGCATTATTTGCACCCATAGGGCCTCTCAAATTGCCTGCTATAATTTCGCCACTTGGGCCTGCGAGGGAATGATGGCGCTCCATGAAGGAACAGAGAGAGACGATACTGTTCTCCAACTCCAGCGTCCCCAAATTGCCTTGCAAGAGGTCGCTCTTGGCAATCCCACAAACCCACACTTGTCAAGGAGAGGGATGCGATCTGTGTATGCAACCTCAATTTACCGATAACATTACACTGTTTTTCTCTCGCTCTCCAGCGCCTTGCGAGGGAGTCTGTGAATTTGTGGGAAAAAGATATTCAATACCGGGGCATTTGCGAACAATGAAGAAAATGACAGATCTCTCTTCCGAGGATATAACACACACCTTGTCCGTATTTCCCTTGTACGCGTTGAAAAGGCTGCCAATCCCACATTTCCAGATAAGTATGGGACATTACATGTATTCACTGGCCGTTTAAGTTATTTTAAAGTTTTAGGTTACTGCCTTAATTGCAAAGTCTTAATTTCCTGCTCTTACCAAAACCACAATATGAATTCCATTCTCATTGTTATAATTTCCTGATACAACCTGGCTACAATTTAGCACTCAACTGAATTCCATTATGAAAATTTGCCTTCTATCATGAAGAATATAGTACAGAAAATGCTTACCTAGCATGGATGGAAGGACTTGTTCAGTTTGCTTGATTGCTACCAGTGCTCTTTCTTTCTTTCTTTCTTTCTTTCTTTCTTTCTTTCTTGGACACGGTGAGGGAAGAGTTTCTCGCTAACAAGATAATGCAAAAACCCTATTTTCTGAATGAGTGACACCCCAGGTATATCAGAGATATAGAAACACACGACCTTCACAAAAATTAATTACATTTTGAAAAGAGAAAGAGAGAGAGAGAGAGAGAGAGAGAAATGACAAACCAATTCTTTCTAAGAAGTTGATATCACCAATTGTTCTTTCCTGAATCCATAATAGTGGCATAGCATGGGGGTTAGAATGAAATTCCTTTTAATTTTTTCCCCTCAAGGTCCCCTTGAAAAATGTTCGCTTTTGAACACAAGATTTGGAAGCTTATGTTTCTTTCAGGGAAATGGGCATCCATCCAGAAGAATGCGGATCAGAACAGAGATAGTTTTTTGGCCAATGCTTTAAATCTGTTTCTGAAAATGTTTTGAGGGTAGACACAATGGGAAATTAATTTTCAGGGCTTTTATCTCCTTGACATAGATTTCTCATGGTTGTGAGTCAAGGTTTCTGATTGGCATGGTATGTAGTGAATGATATACAAAGATAAAGCCAAAAATCTACCCTAGATATGTGTGTTGTGCTCATCTTCCTTCTATGAACTGCAAACTGAGTTCAAAGTATGAAAGTAGTTTTTACTCGATCCCTGGAGGGAAGAAAGGGGTAGAATATTGCCCTTCCCAGTAGACTCAGGCAAAAGCAAACTGCTGCAATTATATGCATAGATAAAGCCAAAATCTACTTGAGAAATGCATATTGGCACAGACTCCTTCCTGAAGTCAAAATATTAAGTTCAGTAGTGGAGTATCTTTTTAAACAGACATATGTAGCATACCTTCCAACTGTTCTGATTCAGCAGGGACAATCCCAAATAAAACTGTTGTCCCACCTTTTCATCTTCTTAGATGCCCCAGTTTCTCTCTGTGTTCTTCCCACTTCCCCTCAGCTTGCTTCAATTACTGAAAACTAAGTTCTTCCAAGTACAAAAATAGTTTGAATTCAAACTAATGAAAGAGAAGGTGGAATCTTCCCCTTCCCAGTAGTCTGAGGCAAAAGCAAACTGCTGCAAACCTCTCATTGCTTGTGTGTTCTTCCTCATTATCTTGATGACACCCTGATGTTGTTTGATCAGATGTGTCCCGGTTTGTACCATGAAAAGTATAGGTCAGGGGTCCCCAAACTATGGCCCGCGGGCTGAACTCGGCCCGTTGAGGCCTTTCAGGGTTTGAATCCCAGCTTGGTTATGGAAATATACTGTGTGGCTTTGGGCAAGTCACACTCTCATTCTCAGATGATGTCAACCGCAAACTCTCTCTGAAGAAACTTGCCAAGAAAACACTGTAATAGGTTTGCCTTAGGGTTGCCATAATTCAGAAACAACTTGAAGGCACACAACAACAAACTCTGTTTCAAACTCTGCTTAGCTTCCAAGATCAGGCACAAGATGTGTAACATACTCGGCCATATATTGAGGCAGTAACATAGCTACAGATTCGCAAATTTACAAAACATAGCCTGTTATGTAAGATCTTGGCCATGTATTTTTTTAAAAGAACAATTCTGCAAATGCTTATTTAAATAGTTAGCAAGAGACAACGTTAACAACAAATGGACATATATTAATCACTTCCTAATAGATACCTCTATGTTCCTCCCTCCTACAAAAACATGGGGGAAGGAATGAGAGAAAACTCATGTAATACACGAGCATGTTTGGATGTGGATTTTTTTTTTAAATTGTAACAAATGAAGTTGAATATCTGTAAAGGAAGGCCAAGTTACCAATGCTGCCTATTACAATGTATTTGATTATTATTTTTTTTATAGCAAATTTTCCCCGCAGATAATCTTGTCCTGTAAAAATACTGCATTTTCAAATTCTCCGGAGAGCTGACAGGCACCCTGGATCTTGCGAAGCCAGGGCTGGTACTGAGCCTGTACTCCTTGTCAAACTTTAATGAGAGGGCCAGTTCTAAAATAATTGAATTTTCATATCAGAGCGAGCCAGGATTATTCAGACAATAAAAATGCTGAGTCCTGTACTGTTACCGGCAAATACCTTTTGCTTTGCTCACGAAATCAGTATGTAAATGTTGGGGCCTGTATTTAAGGCATCTTATGCATTTTAGACTTGTAGTACCAGCAATAATTTCAAATGCTATACTTGATAAGTAGCTGGGCTTCTCCTACCTTCACTCCCTCAACCCATCTTCTCT